CTATCTTTTTTTTTTGCAAAAAAAAAAAAAAAAAATAAATATATCATTCTAAATTCTATCTATCAAAAAATAAATGATCTTACTTATATAAAAAATGAAAAATTTACGTTTTAAAATTATTATATAAAAACTTAAATTTATTAAGTATAAACGTTCATGTATTGATCCACATGGAACAAAAAATAAGCAAAAATGAATAATGTCATTTTATTAGTGTCAAATCAAATATTGATAAATAGAAAATATAAATATAAGTATATTGCAATATAGTAGATTATCGGTGAGGAAAATCCATAATTTTCCTGCATAGTCATTTGTTTTCTATTTGAAAAAACAAGAAGTCATTTGTCTTTTGTTTGAAAAAAGAAGAAGTCATTTATCTTTTGATTGAAGAGATATGAAATATATTTAAATATGTTTTTACAAATCAAGCGAAAGAAAACCAATATATAAAATATTTTCTTTTTTAAATAGAAACATTTTTTAATATTAAGGCATTATATATAATTCATCGATGATATATATGAATATATGTATAACTTTTAATAAAATAATATTTAAAAAAATAAATAAAAATATTTTCGGAAATTATTTCCATTGTATTGATTTAATGTAAATTAATAATATACTATCAAATTAAATTAATTTAAATGTTATTTGGGATAGATATTAATTTAAATGTTATTTTATATGTTTTTATTTTATAAATATTTGATTTTAAAAATAAATATTTGAAATATAAAATATTCTAATTATGCGTATATTTTTGAATCTGATTTTAAAATTAATAAAATAATTAATAAAATATTAATAAAAATTGAATATTTTATCCATATTATTATTAAAAATCTAATATCTGCAAATATAATAGAATTTTTCATTTTTATCTTCACAAAAAAAGTATTATGTTGCTATTTTCAAAAAATATATAATATATTGAACTATATAAAAAAAGTAAAATAAAAATAAAAAATTTAGAAATATGAGGAAAATGTTTTAATTTTATAAATTAAATTGTTTTTTTTAAATATAGTATATAGTTTATATATTTTTTTATTAAAATAATTTTAACATATATTGTGTAGTTAACATTTGCAATACACAAAAATTTTTAAAAATTTTATTTAAATATTCATATATAATAGATTATATAATTAAAACAATATAAATATATTTTTACATTATGAAAATTTAATATAAAATTGATGATTTCGAAACATCAAACATAAAGATAAACATGATTGGAAATGGGAAAATCCAGAGTTAAAGATAGTATATTGTAATATAAAACTTACTAGTTTTATATTCATTTAATTAACTATTATATGTTAAACAGTCACATGTGTTAAGATAAAAATATTAGTATATATAAAATTAAAAATATTACAAAAATATTAAAAACAATAATATAAAATATGTTTATTATTTTAATAATAATAAAATGAAAAAAATGAAAATATTTTATTAAAAAATATATTAATTTTGATTAATAAAGAAAAATAAAAAATATTCAACATTGACATTTATTTTAATTTTCCTTAAAATCTGATGAAATATCTGATAAAAAAAATATTCTTAAGAAAGAAAATTTCACATTTCAATCTTAAATTAAATATTTTTATATTTTAAATAAAAATCATATTTTAAAAAAAAATATGATTTTGTACAGAAAAAAAGAACATCAACAAAAAAAGAATTTGTCATACAAATTTTCAGAATTAGTTTATTAGTTTTTATTAATTTAAATATATTTAATTTATTATATAATTTGTTAATTTATTCATCTATTTATTTAATATACAATATAAAGTTAATTCTATAATTCTAATTATAATTATCAATCTTTAATTATCAAGTTTGAAAATTATAACATTGAAATCAAAACAAGATCATTATATCAATTGAAAATTGATTTTAAGATCAATTTCGATTTTAATTAATTCGAATATTAAATAGAATATTTGTGAGAAATAATTTATAAAACAGATAACCTTTTCATAAAAAGTGATGAAAAATCAGAAGATCATTTCAAGTTTCAGGGACTTATCCATTTCCGCGCAGATATATTTACATATGTGTAATTCATTTGAACGGACATTTATGCATACGTAGTTTAACGAACAGACAGTTGTATATAAATTGAGCTGTCGTTCAATTGTCAGACACTTCTCAGTCTATTTTCGAATAGTTTGAACATCTATTGAAGTTTAACACGTAGTTAGCCAATATGAAGATTTATTTTATTGTCGCCCTTTTCTTCGTGGCTATAGCTGCCATCATGGCTGCACCTGTTGGTGGGTAAATGTTTTATTTAATAATAAAAATAAATAAAATATTTTAAAATATTTAATAAAATTTTGTACAATTTTACATTGCTGTAAATATTATAAAATTGTATTAATTAATACATTTTATAATATTTTAATGTAAAAACAATAATGATGACATATATCAATGTACTTCTTCACCAATTTTAATAAAAAAATTCTTTCTTGACTTATTTCATTGTTAATTTATTCATGAATTACACATTTTATCTATATATTATACAAAATTTAAAAATATTCAAATTTTAGAGGATGAATTCGAGCCACTTGAGCATTTTGAGACCGAAGAACGTACCGACAGACATAGAAGAGTAACTTGTGACCTTCTTTCGTTCAAAGGACAAATTAATGACAGTGCTTGCGCTGCTAACTGTCTCAGTTTGGGTAAAGCTGGAGGCCATTGCAAGAACGGAGTTTGTATTTGTCGAAAGTATGTGATTTCTCAAATTTAAGTTTTCTAAATTTTTTGAATTCAATTAAATCTTGAATACTTTCATGAATCCATTTAATATTATTGAAAATTTTCATGAATAAGTGAATAACTGGTCACATCATTTAAATATATTCAAAATTATTTGCTTATTTATATTATTCGATTAAGAATTAATTTTCTTCAACATTTTTTTTTTATTATTTAGGATGATTTCATAAAGAAAAATATAAAATTTTATACTATTATTTCTATTTCAGAACCAGTTTTAAGGAACTTTGGGACAAACGTTTCGGTTAAGTCAATTATGAAGATTCAACGATGAAATTTTTTAACAAAAAATATGAAAACGCGAAATGATTAAGAAATGAAAAATGAAAAATTATATCATCATTGAAAATTCCATGAATTTTAATTTGCTTATTTAATAAATAATATAAGTAAATTATCTTTTAGTCTTTAATTTCTTTAAATCTTCTTTTTTATTATCTTTTGAATAATAAATCTTTTAAAAAAATATATAAATTTTTCATTAATTAATAACATATTTTTTTATATGGATAATTAGATAATAATAGAAAATAAATTTTTTTTTATAAATATATATTAATTATTATATTCATTATTTTAATAATTAATTTGTTAAGTGCGTTAATTAATAATAAAAATTTAAAAATTAATAAATTCTTGATTATTATTATTATTCATTATAACGAAAAATCATGCTAATAGAATGGACTGTCAGCACCATTTCTTGAAAATTAATGACATCTCTTCAAAGGAAAAATAAATTAGAATAAAAATTAAAGACTAGCGCCATCTCTCGACTATTTCTGGAAATATATTTTATTTTATTCTACTTTACCATGTATTTGAAGAGATTCCTATAGTTCTCAAGAGATGGCACCACCGATCAATTTATACACTATTTGTATCATTTTTTTGTCAGAGTTTCATTTGCGGCACTCTAGAGATGGCGCTGATTTCCTAATTTTTACCTTATCTCTGTCCTTTTCTTATTATTTGCCCTCCTTGTCTATACTTCGAAAAATTCATACATTCAAGAAGCGGACTCCTATATCTAATTAACATTATTATTTCCTTTGCATAAAAATCTATTGATTAAAAATCTGGATAGATAAATAAATTAATATTAATACAATATATACAATATATAGTTATGAATTAAAACATGTATTTATAATTAATTCATATATTACAAAAAATCCATGTAATATATTATTATAGTTTTATGTATTTTTATATATATTTTCTAAACTTTTAATTCTATATACTCCATGAACATTTTACATTTAAGATTATTATTATATTTTGTATTTTACTTTATTTTATTTTTTATTTTATCCATATACATCATTTATATGAGACATTCATTATGCTACACATTATATGTATAATGTAGATCCATCAAGAATGCAACGTATCGATACAGGGACACGATTTATCTATGATAATAACTTCCATTCAACAACCGGTTCCACTGATGCATTATCATACGACATATACTCTATTATTAATATGGAGCCTGATGTTTCTCTGGGTTTGATTCACACTCTTCCGCCTGATTTTTTCCCTGTTATTACATTAACGATTATCTCGTGATAGGGGAGAAAATCATCGAGCATACGATAATCGAGTCAGTCTAGCAATCCGATAATTAAATGGCTCTCGTCAGTCAACTCTGACGTTTCAATCGTGAATTTTATCATGAACCATCACACTGCACATATTACAAAATATAATATTCTATCGTGCATCGTGTAACCCGCCTAAATTTGATCCGATAATTTTCATTTTCCAAGAAAAAAAAAAAAAAAAAAAAAAAAAAAAAAAGAAGAAGAAGAGAAAGTGTGGAGAAAGCAGAGAAGCTTGACGGTTGAAGCTTCACGGAGTCTTTTCTCGATGCTTCTTCTTTATTAATAAACATAAAAAAAAAAAGTTTTGCCCTACCCTTTTGCGAAGTTTGTCGACGAAGCAGAGTTCGACGCAGCGAACCCCAACGCGTACACGGATGGACGAGTTTGTACTTACATGCTATGGAGACCCTAAAAATACACGCAATGGCTAAAAATAATCCTCGATCGGTGCTAAATACATTCGTTTCGAAGAAGCTCGCCATGTGAAGGAAGAATTCTAGATGTGGAACCAGTTGACGAAATTCAGAAATCTGGAAAACAAGCGTGTGTATATGAATTTTGTATTATTATTATTATTATTTCTTTCGTTATTATTTCGTTACATGATAAAACAAATTTTGATAGTTATTTATTGTCTAATTTATTAAAGATAAAGTTTCTTTCAATATTTTTTTTCTTAAAATTAATTCTATATCCTTTGACTATGCCCGTGTACTGTTACAATAAATAATTCACGTTCAGAAATTAAATCTTCCTTTCATGAATTCTTTGCAACGCAAATTTTTAAAATAAAAAGATTCCCAAGATTGTAAAGAAATTTTATTTTAATATAAAATATACAAGAATAGAATTATTTCAGTTATTTAAACATATAAAATGAACAAAATGAAAAAATAAATTAATTAGATATCTAATTATAAATTGTAATATCATATAAATTTTTATTTCAATTTTTTCAAGATGGATTAAAAAATATATACTATTATAAAAATAGAACACTTTTTTAACTATAAAGATTACTAGACAACTAGAAAATTATTAACCTTCTTCATAAATCTTAATTCTTTCCTCAAAGTTACTAAAATTCAAGTCTATAATAGCCCCCATCAATATAATTCAACGTGTATCAATTTTTATAATATCGTCTTTCGACCTCATAGAATCAATTCTCGATATTTTACGAGTCATCCATGCAATTTTTCACTTCGAAAAAAATTTCGTAAATCGCAATTAAATCGTAATTAAAAAATTGTAACGCATCTTCTTCCGGACACACTCCATTCTATTTTTCCTCTCCCTTAACCCAAACCACGATCTGTCACCGTTCAAACTTTCCAGGAAACTTGAAAGCAATCTGGCAAGGGGTCCAGGGCACGCACAGCACGACGAAGCAACGAGGGGTGGCCTCGGGGTGGGGGCGACGCAATTAGGAGAGAACATAAATCCCGCAGTTTAGCACACTTCCTCGCATCGCCGGTAGATCGGAGAATACAAATCAATCGTCGTAACGGCCGACTGCGCATTTAATTTCCATTCGGCTTCTGATCCGCGCGGACAGGGTGGGTTAACGGGGGTGGAACGTGGAACAGGACAAATAGGACAAGCAGAGCAGGCGGAGGATGGAGGAGAGATTGTACGAATGGATGAAAGAAGAGGGTTGAGAAGAGCGCACGGTATGTGATGATAGGAGGAGGAGGAAGAGGAGAAGAGGAAAAAAAAACGATGGAAAAGTGGGTTAAGGGGGAAGGATGGGAGAGTAATTTGCGAACATCGAAGCAAAGGAGATTTAGGACACGGAGAATGGACGATTGGACGTTTTGGGATGGGATGGAAAAACATAGAGGACAGAAAATGTGGGTGGTGATGGTATTAGATTGAATCTAGAGGTGGAATTGAGAGAGAGAGATATGAGAAGAAAATTTTTGTAGTGGACATTATTTGGACAAATGGAATATAGTTGCTTGAAATAGAGAATTTGATGAAATAGGCAAGATTTAAAATGTGTGACTGGAAAATGGACTTGCAGTATTGTATAGTATTTGTATAGTATTGTAAAGTATATTAGTATTTGTATATAAAGTATTTGTATATTAGTATATTTATTATTACAATACTTAATAAAAAGATAGATAATCTGTAAATATTTTTTGTGATTACTGATAAATGACAATTTTCTTTTACAGAGTTAAATTTTATTAAAATTAAAATTATTATTAAAGTTTATTATTGATTCTTATTGACAATTCTCTAAAGTCTTTGATATTTACTATTTTATTATATCAATAGATTGTTTATTCTTTTAATATAACTGTTTCAAAAACTTTATAATAATTATTACCTATTCTATTCAATTTTATAAGAGAAAAGCATTTGAATTTTACATTGAATGCTTAATAATTTATAATACACTAATTTATTTTCTTCACAATAAAATAATATATACAATTTATTCAAATTGTATTCAATTAGCTTCAATTTTGATATGCGACAATCATTAATAACAATACATTACTAAATTCGAAATAGATTTGTATACAATTTATGTAATATAAAATTAAGCATTTCATATGCGACAACCTAACCTAAAAACCAATTTTTAACAAAAATTAATTTCATTCGCATTAAATTAAATACAACATAAAATGAAAGAGAGAAAAAAAAGAAAAAGAATAAATTTTCGGAATAAATTGATAGAGGAAAAGGGAAGAGGAATAGAATGGCGAAAAACGAGGACACGAATGAGAAAGAAAATTCTCGTTGGAACGTTGAAGATTCTCTTCAGTCTATTTCCATTCGAACGTAGGCGTTTTCGTTTCCCCTCCCTTCGTTGTAACGGATCCTGGGATCGATGAATGACACCGGCGTAAAAAGGATTTACCACGTTCCGCGACGAATCGACGGTGATCCGATTCGCATTAAGCCCGCGACGTGCACGCCGGATCGAATTTGTACGCGTCGTTACGCGCTCACGCCGCCTCCTCCTGGAAAATGAGCACATTCCGATAATTGCGCTTTCGGTGCATTGTTTACCCCGTGCAATAACGATCGACGTGACTCTTTCCTCAACGCCCGTTCACGCTAATAAGCTTTGTAATCGTTGTTGTCCGATCGCGGAGATAACGCGCGTAAATGCGTTGCCGGACCCGATTTTATAATAGAATTATGCGTGCGAATCGCGATTCTTCTCTTTGTTGGGTGTAAAATAGAATTTTCATCTTTATTTTTTAGAATTGAGGTAATTGGAAATGGTAAAAGCAATGGAAAACGAAGAATTATAATGTTTCTCACAGTAAAGAGAGAAGATAAAAATTAGAGGTTAGGAACTAGAAAAGATTAAGTTAGATTAATTAGATTAGATTGATTTTTAAAATATTTCTGTTTTCTTACATAGATTTTGATTCTTCAGATTATTTTCAAATTCTTGAATAAACATTTAAAACAACTTTGATTTATGAATTGAGAGTCCACAAGTATATCAATAAATTTCTAAATACAAATTTCACTTATCACATATAAGAAACCAAACAAACATTCCACAACTAGGATATCCAACTATCTATTTCAAAGAACAAACGAGGCCGAACAAATTTTTACGCGAAGAAACAAGAATGTTTCGAATACCTAGTTCGAATAATAGTGCTCGACGAGACATAGGTTAGCGGGTAGCAATAGATCGACAACACTTTCGACCGTGGCGCAATCTGGGGAACACGATTATTGCCTTTGCAAGATCTCCAACTATTTCCACCGCTGATAAGGTTCCTTCGAGCCACAAGATTTCTTTCCTTACTCTCTCTTTTACACATATATACACTTATATATATCTTGTATATGCTTTCTTACTTTCTCATTGTTACTCGTGGTCATAGCATCCAGGCTTACCTAACTTGGTCGACGGCGAGCCGCACTCCCGTCATTGCCAAGCAAGTTTATGGCCCAGACCGACGCCCATAAACTGTACAAATGGTAAATCTACCGTAAGATCATCCCAGCCGAAAATGATGTATCGTAGGTTTCGTACACACGAGAAATCGGCAGACCTACTAGTTTGACCCACCATCGCCAGTCCCCTTCTCTTTCCTGCGACGATGTTATCTATGACGGAAAGAATTGACGAAAAACAACGATGTGCTACTGGTTTGGAGTCCAGTTTCCAGATCTGTTTTGGTGAATCTTTTGTGAATCTCTTGTAAAGTGAATTTTTTGATTTTGAAATATAAATACTAAATATAGTCATATTGATATAGTAAGTACATTTTGTAAACTGAACTATTTTATTTGGTTAATCTATATCGACTAATTTAGGTTAGGTCAGATCAATTTGTAAGTTTATTAGTATTTTTATGATGAAATAAGAAATAAGTATTCAATCTACAATACAATCATTATTATTTACTAATTCTATCTTCTTATTCTTTCTTCTTTCAGAAGTATTAATATGCAATTCGATAACCTGTGAAAGTTTTCAACGTTTTCCCGCATTTCGCATTTTTTTACATGGATTTTTTAATTGAATGAAAGGAGTCATAAAATACGAGAATAAGATTCCGAAAACGAGTAATGATTACATGGAAAGATTCTCAGCTTGAATAAACTTTGAACCAAGGTGTCGTTGGCGAAAGTCTTTTGAAATACGCGCGTGGGACGCTTCGCGAAGCATGAAGAATACAGAAGGGATCAATGTACACAACGATTGGCCACGGGAATATAGACTGCAGCTTTTAGGAGCTTATCCTTGTTACACCGTGGTGCCGCTATGTAATACTATCTTAACCGAGGAGAGCCATTGTGATCTTATTTCCGCTTGGCTCGGTCTGCCGAGTTAACATCTTCAGCTTCGATCGTGCAACTACTCTTACATGTTCTGGCTTTTGTTTCATTGAATATATTTATTAATTCAATTCAGTTAAAATTATATATTTTATGTTTACGATATTATTAATTTCTTCAATTATATTTTCATAAAATAAAAATATCACTAAAAGTAGAGTTATCAGATTTGAATATTAATCTAATTAATATTAATATTAATCTAATATTAAACTCTTTTTAAAGTAAAAATATATATATTAATATTTTAAATAAGAAAAGGAAAACATTTATTTTTGAAGAAGAAAATATAATGTTGAATCAATAATTTTTTCCTAAAATTTCTCAGAATTTTTAGATAATTTAAGAAATATCGTTTGAGAAATATAAAAATATTAGCAGATTTTTAAAATATTATAAAAAGATTTTAATTTCATTGAAATTTATTTTTATACATATTAAAAATGTGAATTAATTTTTTTGATTTATTATTAAGATATAGAATTACACAATTATTATACAATTATTAATTTTAATGAAGGATATTAAGGAAATAAAATAAATTGTACTGGAAATTTTTTGTTAAATAGAAGGATTTATGATATGGATTTTGATGTAAATCTGGGATTTGATAGTAATGTATTTAATTCACACAAACATATTATTCTATTTTCCTTTGTATCAAAGTTCTACATTCTATATTTCCAGTTATATATAGTTGTCACGACAACTATTCACTTGCTTTGCAACAGCTTACAGATAATTCGGAATAACTACTTTGTAAGTAAATTAAGCTCTTAGAAATATAGATACAAGAAAATTAATCTGATTTCACACATTTTCAATAGAGTAATTATTTATCATCAAAAGTTTATATTTAAGAAAATATTAAACAAAATCTATACAATATAAAATGATTGCTTCTATTGAATGGAAATTTTACAACATAGAGGAACCAAAGTATTCTCATTGAAAATATCGTACATACATAAATTTTCACACACGCACGATCTCGCGAGCTCATTACGTATCCGGCCATATTGTGAAAAGGACGAAAGCTCTCCTCGACGGATTTAACTTCACGATACCCACACACCTGTGCTTTACCTGCGCCACGAGAGTGTGATCAACTGTACGTAATGGGGACAACCCTTACTAAATCCTGTATTGTAAGAAATCGGCCGGAGTTAATAATAGAGCTCGGCTTTCGGCTTTGTGCCAAGCGTATTGTGCCGCGAACTGAGATCGTAACTCGTGTGGGATTCGACCGGTGTCCTCTTATGCTCGCGAGGAGAGGATGCAAGAGGATGCTGCTGTCGTCTTTCACGCCCAACCAGAGTAAGGGATTAAGGGATGATGCGGTGATGCGCGGTTCAAAATTTTGAAAAATTTTCTTGAACGGTGATGTAACTGAATGGTGATGTAATTTAGAAAAGGGAAGAATTAAGTTTTAAAAGGGTTAATGAATATAATCTAAATTTTAGTAATTTTTTTTATGCTTCAAACGTATTTTAGGAAATCTTTTTTTTGGAAAATTTTGAAAAATTTTCTCTCGAATAATCACGAATAATCCCTCGAATACGAATGGTGATATAATGAGACATTATGATAAAAAAATTAAGTTTACAATTTAAATTTAAATTTGATCGTCAATTTACCTCTTTCTGCGTGGATATTAAAATTTCAGCAATTTTGAAATTCTTCCAAAGCGACGAAATTAATCGCACACGAGTTATTTTGTAACGAATTAATCATTCACAAAAACTTAAATACTAATCCTACGTTTTAACATTAAAATTCAAAGATTTCATTGAAAATCTTATTAATCAATTCTCTGAATACCTGCTTAAATTAAAATCTCTAATTTAACAAAACAAATTATTAAAAAAAAAAAAAAAAATGATCTCTGGCCAATTTCTAAATATCACACCGTTCTTCCTTGCCATCCTTCGACCATTATTTCGAGGACATTCCATCGCACACGAATCTTCGTACGTTCCTTTAATCGAGACGCGAAGGCAGAAAAAGCCCCTAGAAGCATCGACACGAAATGGAGAAGTAAAGGCACGAGCGAGGTACGTCCGTGTTGTGGAGCGGCAGCATCTGGTGCCACCCTTCCCTCCTTCCTCGCATCGCATAATCCCTCTCTTTCCATCCTATCCTTTTTATCCCTGTCCCGTATCGTTCCGTCTCTTCTCTAT